GTTCGATTTGGTTTCATGTTCCTTGGCTACGTTCACGACAGCGAAGCATAAAACATGGAGCGTATGGAGCGCTAATTCTGGGTCGCAACGGGGCGAGTGCGACAAATTAGGCGTTGCAAGCTGGGTGGTGTACGCGCTGCATTCGCGCCGGGACCCAACCCACTCAACGTGGCAGTGTTGCCGCGCGTTGGATCTCTCGACTCTCTTTTCGTCTGCGTCTCTCAAGTTAACTAGTTCTCTCTGTGCGCGTCTTGTCAGCGGAGGATTAAACCGATTAACTGCGAAGATGCAGAGTTAAAAAAAGATGACTACGTCTTTGTCTGGTCAACTAGCTACGAAATACTTTGCTAGTTCGTGCAGTGCCACAATTCGGAAGTAATGTTCCACATTCAAACACACATTGAACACAGGGACAACTACATAGCTTCTCCGCGCAGCCAGCGGCAACTTTCACGCGACGCGCAGCTGAGCCTAACGCTACACATCCTCAATTTGGTGAAACGTCAGTGAGCTCTTTTCGCGATATGTCGCCTTCGCATCCTGTGCACTAGACTGGTACTTCTGATCTTGAACACATTTCTGTTCTTCATTGACCGGGTTTTCGGCTTTTCTTCAAAAAGCAACTTTTTCAAGCAGTCCCAGGATCAATCTCTATATTTCAGAGATTTTGTTCTTCGTCAAAGTCGTACTTACCTTTTCAGGCACCAGCTCGATTGCTTGTTTGATATATACGGACAATACCACGCTACAGCAATCGTCTATGCCTGCCTCACACAACAGGTGAGCAGTTTTTTTTACTTTGGTATCAAATGAGCGAAATTCCTTTTTCTTGTTTTTCTTGTGTTCTTAGTTTACCGATTTTCCGTTGAAATCACCGTAGACTGTGTAGACAAGTCTGAGCCCCCTGTTAACACATTACGACCCTGGGCGTCACCAGTTATGCATGCAGCAATTACCACATGTGAAGTAAAAGGGGACTACGCAAGTTAGAGCCCTCGGCAATCTAGGATGGAGCACAAGGAACCCTTTCCAAGAGCGCTTTGAATGCTAGACGTGCGATAATGGGGCAAAAGCCATCACCAGTTGCCAAATCGCTGGAATCGCGCAACCAAAGCGATTGCTGGGCGCCGACTCCGAACGTGGTTCCTCAAGACAACTCCCAATTGCCTGTAATGTAGGATCCCTTTCCGCGTTTGGGGAGCAGGGACGCAAAGGCACATAATGCGCCAACGTGCCACTCGAAAGTACAAGGAGGACACGTAGGGAGCTTCTGATTCAACCCTGACCATGCTTTTTGGGTTTGCCCCCCCCCCCCCCCCCTTAATATGCAGTGACCACGTTC